CACAAACGTTTCTAGCACATGCAGCTGAAAAGGAATAGAGCGAGGTGTGGTGGCACACACCTGTAACCCCAGCACTCAGGAGGCTGAGGCAGGAGGATTGCCACAAGTTCAAGGCCAGTCTGGGCTACCTAGTGAGACACTGTCTCAAAAAGTCTAAAAAAAAATAGTTTCTATTTCTCTGGAGAGTATATATAGAGTTGTGTAAATAAGATTATGTAAATAATGCAGAGTATATAGGCTGTTTACTCATATTTTCTGTTGTAAGCTATAGATTTATGACATTGCTACCATTAAATAAAAATTATATATCTTTTAAAAATGTAATTATTGATATTAAAAATAAGTTAATACTTTTTGGTTTGGTTTGGTTTGGTTTGGTTTGGTTTGGTTTGGTTTGGTTTTTTGAGACAGGGTCTCACTTTATAATGCAGACTGGCCTTGACCTATGTAGCCTAGGCTGGCCTCAGACTTGCAGTGATGCTCCTGCCTCTGCCTCCCAAATCCTGGGATAACAAGAATGCACCGCCAGGACTAGCAAGTTAATACCCTTGAAATTATTTTATTCAATGGGGCCAGGGATATAGCTCAGTGGCATAAGCGCCTGCCTGTCAAGTACAAGATCCCGAGTTCAATTCTCAGTACCAAAAAAAAAAAAATTATTTTATTCTTCTCTTGTTTCTGCTGTACATTGATCACAGGAGTTCTTATGTAGAGTTTTGTATTGCATCTTCTCTAAGAGTTTTCTTAGAGGTATTTTTATTTGTGTGTGCACAGGGCATTCCCAAAATGTGAAATATCAGTGTCAGGGCACACGGCCACCTCACTCAGGCTCAGTTGTTGGTGCGTACTGTTGTCCAGCATTTCTGAGGAATTTCTGTGAGCTAACCAGTTACATCTAAAATAAAATCGTGTTCACCGTTCAGTTTTCCTGCATTTCCTTCGCCTGTCTTTGGTGTCTGTTGGTCACTGTTGTCACTGGACACGTGGTGGGGGGTGTGGGGGTCATGCTGGCTCACAGCTTACTCCATGGTCAGCCGGCAGAGGGCCTGGTGGAGGAGAAGGTGCTTAGCGCCTGGCAGCCACAGAGCAGGAGGGAGCAGCCGGGGACAAGCACTCGCCCTCCGAGGGGACATGGCCGGTGCCCTCCTCCAGCCAGGCCCCCTCCTAACGGCCGCGCCAGCTATTGCGCCCGTCAGCCACAGTGTCCGGGCTCTGGCTCCTGAGAGCCTGCGTCCACTCGGATGAAATTATTCAGCACACCTCTGAGGTCACCAGAGTGCCAACCGCTCAAGCAGTGCTAACGTCTCCTAGAATCAGGGCAAACGCAGCGGTGAGCTCCCGGTAAAAATGAAGAAGAAAGTTAAATTCTTCTGACATACAGTGGCAGAGTCAACATTTCAGTTCCAGTGAAGAGATAGAAACGAATGGGACCAAAGACAGAAACGTGTAAGAGTAAATACTAAATCCTGAACTCCACAACCAACACCTGGGGCAAGCTGTGAGATGTGAACTGCAGAGGGCTCAGGTGGCCCCAGTGTGCAGCACTGCTGGTGGCAGCCCACATGACCTCTCTGTTGGGCCGCTTCTGTTCACTGCTACAGCTTTCCTCAGCAGCCGCTTCACATTCCTGGTGTCTGCACCTTCCTGGGCTTTCCAATGCACTTCCAGCACAACTCACAGCTTCATGCACTGCCTTCTCAGGGGTGTACTGCCTGGCCTCGCAAGTCTTCTGAAAGCTGAATGGAAGTTTTCACAACTCCATAACTTGCATGCTACATGCTTGTAAAACCAGTACCATATAGATAGCACCAAGGTCATCAACCAGCTTGAGCAGTAGACAGGCCCCCTTGGGTCATGGCTGCAGAGGCCTGAGTGCCTGGATGGCTGAGAATTGTGAATGAAATCCTAGGGAGCAAAGTCCCTAGCAGCCCTTCTCAAGCAACTTTGTAGTTTTACACCCTTGAGCCTTGCAAGTGTGGGATCTTGCTGATTTCTGCCTGAGATGTCTTCAAACTATCTTTCCTATTGTCCTGATGCAAAGTATTTGGCTTTTTGATGATAATCTT